CAAGTTCTGTGAGAGAATGAATTCACTGAATGAACCGGCATACACAACACGCTTCTTCAGTGCCTTCTGTCTCACTCTACTCTCAATAAACAGTCAGTAATCAGTCTTTAGTAGTAGCAGGAAAACTTGGCACTGTATTGGAATGATGGGGGTGGAATCATAACTCACTACCCTATCAAATGTAAGTATGGTACCAATTGGTTACAGAGCTGCAAGCTGAAAACCAGAAGTAACTGTGGCTTGGCACTATACACAATTGCTCCAAAGCTGTCAATTATTCCATTTTTTCTTAATTAAAACAAAGATAATTCTTCAAGTTTAAATCTCCTGACGTCCAATAAGCTATGCTCTAGAATTCACAGTATTCACTTTCAAGTATCCCAGTTATATCAAATATAAATTCGATCACAGACTTGAAAAAGATGTGTTAAAACAAACGTATTGAACAATAAAGTGTGCTGCGTACATGTAATTTCGCAGAACAATTTCAATTTTTTTAGGCAATTAATGTTTCACAAGTACTTGAACTGAACACAAAAACTGTTTGATCATTTGTAGATTTAAAAAAAAAGAATTTCAACTTGTTGAACAAGTCGGTCTTCTAAACTTTTACGCCAACACTTGTAGAAACCACTTACTAGTCAGTTAACTGTTCAACTAAAATACATACACACTTTCTCCTAACTTCAACTCGGCAAACAGTTTATAAAGAAAACTCAGGATATTTGTTGGTATAAATAAGGGGCGGTGAATTTAAGGTATCTATTGGTAGATTGAAAGGTAACACAGTCAATAAAAGGTGTATATGAAAGGCAAGGTGTTAATATTTGGTTCACTTGGTCAGTTGTATCAATTAAAACTATTCAATTAAAAATTTCATTCATAAAAATGGTTATTTTTATAACACAAATCCACATCCTTTCAGAAGATACTTTGACTGATACAAGGTTCATCGAAAGCCATTGGTCCATTTGAATTAGATTGTAATAAGTTTGATAAAGAAGAATCAATGACTAAGTGGTCCATATCACACCAGATATTATGATATTACCTATCCTAGTATTGTTTATAAGACGTAGTTCCCAGCATGATGTCCAACTTCTGATACATCTACATCATGATTATTATATTTTTAACATTTTTTTAGGATGGTAACAAATTTTACTACTTTTTGTTGTGGCCAAATTAGTTAGTTATACCGTATTGTAAGTGGTGCCAAGGAATAATTTTCTTGGACTCCAATTGCATTTATTTCTTTATTTCAATTACTAAACTAAGAATTATGCAACAATTCCCTCAAACTTTTCTCCATAACATTTTATTGTATTTTTGTCTTTTATTAGTACATCATTACTTCGAAAAATGTGCTAGATCATTATTTGCAAATGTAAAAAATATACATATCAATCTAAATAATTCACAAAAATTGCATTTATTTCTCTATTTCAATTACTAAACTACGAATTATGTAACAAAAACTTTTCTTCTTAACTTTTTATATTTTGTTTTTTTGTAAGTACATCATTACTTCAAAAAATGTGTTAGATCATTACTTGCAAGTATAAAAAAATATATGTATTTATTAATCTAAATAAATCACAAAAATTGCATTTATTTCTTTTAAAATTTATTTCAATTACTAAACTAAGAATTATGTAACAATTCCCTATAACTTTTCTCCTCTTGATTTATTTTCTTTTATAGATTAGGAACATCATTACCTCAAAAAATGTGCTAGATCATTACTTGCAAAAATAAAAAAATATATATAATTCACAAAAATTTGTAAGTGTAATATTATCCATAATATATCAATATAATTTAATTTTAACTTGGGCTAATGATATAATTATTTATAAGCCAAAATTTAAGGAGAATTAAAATTGTGCACCCAATAACACCTAGTGTTTACTATTATAATCATAATGTAGCATTAATAATAAAACCAATAGGCATTATTACACTCATAACAAATGTTGTGCTTCCAGTGTGACCAACTGAAGATTTCTGGTCTCAAAGGATCTCTAATTGGCTGCTAATCATTCAAACAGATGAATTTTAATGTTTTTAACAGGCATCCAGCGAGGGAAATAAAAACTTGCTCCTTTTGACATGTGAACTTTATCCACCTTTTGTGATTGTGTGATGGGATTTAAACAAGTGAAAAACATTGCCGTTTGTTTAGAACTCTGTCCTAATTACCCTTGCTTCTTAACAGTTGTTTTACACATAAAAAAAATTACTCATTCACTAACATTATGACTTATCATCATTTAACAGTACCTATATACCATACTTTAATATATATTTTCTTTAATCTAACAGAATAGAAAGAATTAAATAGTGATTTTTAGAAATCAGTTTGTCAAATGGTTTAAGTAAACAATATAATTTACATATTATATGGCTTATTCTAGGGCTCTGGTTCTGAAAAATGGAGGGAGCTGTGAGGGCTCAGTGAGTTAGACGCTTGCTTGCTAACCTGAAGGTCCAGGGTTCAATTCTGGCATAGATAATATTGGTTTTTTTTAACCCAGTTTCCCCCTGTAGGTAAGAGGGGCTGACATGGAAAAAGTGTCTAGTCGTTCGGATGGGACAATAAACCAAGGCCCCGTGTGCTACAGGCTGTGCACATTAAAGATCCCTCAACAGTTGGAAATCAAAGAAGAGCGGGCTAATGCCGCTGTCCTGGCAATATTTCCCTCATAGCACCCTGCATGACAATGCTCGTCTTCATTAGCCCACATGCTGCAGAAAAGTAGGACGGGACACCCCATTCATTTCATTTCATTTTTTCTGAAAAATGAAATTTTGTTTACAGGCTATTATTATTATTAAAATGACTGTTAAAAAGTTAACAGTAAATTTGTTTTGATTAGTTACAATTAATTAATTCTAATTAGCTAGGTGAACTCTCTATAAAAGTATATTTAAATTGCAAATAATGACCTTTGACAAAATAAACCTTAATAATACAAGGATCATTAAATCATAAAGAATTGCTATTATGCATGTCTTAAATCAACTGAAAAAGTTAAACTGTGCATGACAAACTATTGTCATTTTCAAAATTTTATTTTTCTGTAGGCTTTTTATCAATAAAAAAGGTGACTTTTTTGTCATTCACAATCTTTACAGATCTGATTTAAAAGCAAAAAAATATCATCCTGCTCCATAAAAATTCTCATGAACTTTGCAGGCCGATAACCCTAACTATCAACCGTCCATAGCAAACCTGCACAAAAATCTGAAGCAAAGGAGAGTACCTCAACCATGAAACAATTAACACATCACCAAACATTTTTTGATCAGAATTATGATCAGTAAATAATAGTCTTCAAATACAATACCATATCCTTCATTAAACTTGGTTTTTAACAAAGATACCTACAGGTGTTTAACAATACCAGTAATATATCACATAAAATTATCATTATTTCTCTCTATCACAGAAGGTGACAATGGAGAATAAACATAAATGAATTTCTATTTGTTAAATATATGAAATTTATTGCGATTTTATTTCTGATTTCTGTTCTTGTGTTTAGAGAAGAAAGTTAAATTAATGATTATGCACACCCTAATTTTCTGCACCTGTTTAAGATAATATAACAGGCAATGTAACACTGTGTGCAATGGGCGATATTTGTCAGGACAGAAGCCCATGTACATGTATCTGGGGAATTGCACAGCCTGTAGCTCATGAGGGTCTTTGTTTATTGATCAATCCAAATGACTCGGCATTTTTCTATCAAAACTACTATGGAAAAATCCAAAGGTATGCTCACAATCAATCCATGAATTGAACCGTGCAATCTAAGGTAAGTGAGAAAGAACCTATCTCCCTCTCAAACCAAATCCCAACAGAAAGGAAGTGAAGCAATCAAAAGCATGTAATGACAGATCAAATAGATTTTTATGTAGTGATTGACAAGCCTTTTAACAGGTGCACTCATTCATAATTGTCAAAATATTCTTTATTTTTTAATAACTGTCATCTTAGCTTACAAGCTGGCAGACACTTTCTGCCATAAATATGTGAAGAGGAAAACAATATTATGTATTATTAAAGTCCCTGATTGAAAACGGCCAAGGGCTTCAAGATAAGTAGAGAAAATGGGAGAAAGACTCCACATATTACAGGAAAAACTTTATTTAATTACAAGAATACTTACAATGCACGTTAGTAAGGATATACAGAGTAAGTAACTTTCACAAAAAGCAACCAACTTACAAATAAACCAATTTTTAGTAAAGGGCACCATCTTAAAGGGATACTACGTCTTAAAATGAACATAAAATTTAAGAATTTTAAACTTGGCCAATAAGAGCATATATTCATCAGTTGATATACCTGGTGTCATAAATAACATAACAGGATCCTTATATAATCTAATAAATCCAAAAAACTTATGCAACTAACCATTGAAAAACGCTTAATATTAACATTGAGTGTTTTTCAATAATTACTTTGTTATATGAATTTTCAAATTTTCCTGAATTTACAGGGATTCTGTTGTAACTTTATGACGCCAGGCCATATACTGATGAATATATACTCATATTGACCATTCTTGAGAACTTAAATTTCATGTTCATTCTAAGACGTAGTATCACTTTAACTGACATTGTACTTGTTTGAAAGTCTTACATGGTATATATTTTTATCTATCACATATTGTGGTCATTTTACAGAAAATTTGATATACATGAGTGGCATACTTGATGTTAGGAAATGACTTGCAAAATATTTTGGAATTCCCACTCCTGTTGTAAACTGAGTACAAGGGGAGGTGACCCATGGTTCCTTGATAAAGAAGCTTTCATATCAGACTTGTATTCCATGATTTTCAAAGAGACTATAAGTTATAATATTTGATGAAATAAGAAGGTGTTTAAGGTTAATTATTTGGTACGCGATAAACTTGAAGTCAATCCTCAAGAGGAAGTCTTGTACTCAACTATATTGTTTCTTATTAAACTATATTATCATTACTTACCCAGTTAGAACTAATATATATACCAGCTTCATATCCAACCATATCATAAAGAGATATTCTCCCAAATTTTACACATCAGTATAAAAAAAATACAAAGGAAGTATTCTTACTATTACAGTGGCGTATTTAGGGAGCATTGGCCCTTCCTCAAGGACTGTGAAAGGTCTTACTTTGAAGTGAAAATTAAGCTCAAAAATTCATATCAGGCAATCTGAAATCCTATTGCTTCTGAGAGCCTCTGTCAGCCCTCTGCCCCCCTAACCCTTCGAACCTCACCTCAGAGAGACAGCTCTCATTTTTGGCCTCCCTATATTTTCTAGATACTGGTTGGTTAACGTTTGCTTCCAGCGAAAGATACTCACTGGAGCTCTCTATATATAGCCACCTGTATACACATGGAGGCATTCTTATCAATATACACATGTACAAAGGCATTCTTATCAATATATAATATCTAGGCATAATTATCTATATACACAATATTGAGGCATGTATATCAAAATACACATGGAGGCATTCTTATCAATATACACATAGAGGCATCCTTATCAATAGGCCTACACACATAGAAGCATTCTTATCAACATACACATAAAGGCATTTTTATCAATATACACATGCAGGCATACTTATCAAAATACACATGGAGGTTTTCTTATCTTATAAATCTACAAATTGAGGCATTCTTATCAATATATTTGGAGGCATTTTTATCAATATACCCATGGAGGCATTATTATCAATATACCCTTGGAGGCATTCTTATCAATATACACCTAGAGGCATTTTTATCAATTTACACGATTCAATATAACCCTGGAAAAAAACATAGTGCTCAAGATTTGTAGAAGTTTCAGAGTTACTAACCTTAAATAACACAACACAATTTTATGGTATATTACTCCTTAGTTTTCTTGTACCCACAACGTTTCAACAATTTACATTGTCATCATCAAGTGAAGTTACTAATCATTTAAAGTCGTAGGCAGAGATCAGACATGACATGCAAGTAATGCCATGTGACTGAAATTGTTTCAGAAAGTCAATTCTTGTAGGCACTGGTGGTAAATTCAAGCTAACTTTAACTTAATATACTTATATGATACATATATACTTTTAATGACTAATATAAAATCTAGACAATTGTTTCACCAGATTCTAACTTTGATAATGGGGAAACAATAATACTTCATGCCAACAAATTCAATGACTTTTCCAAGACAAAATAGTATCTTATTTTATAATGTTTCAGGTTTCACTTCTCTTGCTCTATAAACCAAAGTTCCAGCAATTTAGATGATATAACAAATTTTGAACTTGTGGAGATGAAAACCCTTTGAAAACTATCTTGTAAAATTGATATTATCATTATTATTAATATATTATAATTATTCTAAATAATGGCAACAATCTTCAATACATGTATATATATATGTCTATTGCATACAATCAGAGAGAGTTTCAGAGTCCTAATTTATTGTGGAAATATGCATCATTTTATTGTAAAAATGTATCAATAATGAAAAAATACTCTTTCAAATTTCATAAAATGTCAGATTTAAGCCCTTATCTTTTTTCCATGGGCATCATCAAAAAATGGATCCAAACAATTTCAACACCAAAATCCAAAATTCTGCAGCTGTCATTGCAAAAAATATACCTTGTATGTGTATAGTAAAAACAACTAAGTTGTCTCTGAAGTGTAAAACTTCTTAGCAAAAATGTAATTAAGACCATGTAACCATCATCACCTAAAAGGATATCTCTTCACAGCCAGAATCCACTGATTTTGGAGGGGGCAAATCCTTGTTCTCATGCACTTTCAAGCAGCCAGCATTTTGTTTAATAGAATGCTACATGTAACAGATTTCTGTTGAAAACTTTAAAATTTACTTTTCTTTGAATTTCATCTTGGGCACCAAGCATAGATCACTGTTTATCCAGATTCTAATTGTATTAAAGAGTCATGAAGTACATTTATCTGAAATCCGTTTTAACCAGAAAAAAACAAGGTCTGGTTCTCACAATGAAGAATATATTAATGGAGACCAAACCTACACCATGTCAATAGTTTTTGTTGTTTGAAAGATCTGTTGAAATCATCAGTGGTTGAAAGAACAATAAGTGTTTAGAAGAATAAGGAATTTTTTACACAAGATATCTATATCTAATATCTATGATGGCTGACACCTTGGAGACGATCAGAAAGATTTCTCATGACTTTTCACAAGATCATTGTTTGCTTTTCAAACAATTTTCGATGTTTGGTTTTTGGTTTCATCCACCCAAATTTTAGAAATGATAAAGTATTCCATATACAAAAAAAAATATTTTAAGATATATGTATGTGGACTCTCTGAAAGCCATACAGCGTAGAAAACATTTGGGAAAGGCTAGGGCTAAATCCGTAATGTATATTCAAATTAAATTGTCGTTATAAAATATCTCTTCTTGACCCCCATTTCTCAAAAATGTTTACTATAAAATTTTGTTAAAGGGACAGACGTGCCATTTTGGGGGGTTGATTTTAATCTTAAAAATATGTAAATAGTCTTCAGAAGTAGTAGAAACGTACATAAATTGCATTATTCCTTAAAAAATACTTCAAACTAGGAATTTTACTCACTATTTCTATATATGTCTTTTCTATATATCACAGAGTACGATATATAGACAAAACTTTATGGAACAACAATCACAGAGTATCTTAAATTGACGAGTCGTCATTTTAACATTCAAAAGTGTTTAATTTCAGACACACATGGATTTGAAGAATAAAATTTCAACTGAGCTGTATCTTGATCGGCATAGCTTAAATATTGCCGTTTCTGAAACTGAAGTATGATTGGTCATAAAGAATGGCGCATCTGTCCCTTTAAATGTGAGTAAAATGTCAAACATAAGACAAATTTTGAAGTTTAATTCATGTAAGATTTTGAAAAATTGGGATCAGAAACTGTTAATTACAAAAATTACAATACAATTGTGATAACAGTACATAATATTTCTCTCAAAATTGCTTTAATTTCAGTGCAATAAGATGATATTCAACATAGTTAAATGGAAGTCGAATTCTTTGAAACTGAAAAGAAGTTTCTCCCACTGGAAGCAAACAATACCAATTGTGTGAGATAGTGGATGGCAGTAAATGAATATTTGTTTTATTATGTTTTCACGCAGAACTATCTTTAGTTTCAGCAGAAGGTCAAAACAAACAATAAAACATGGCCCAATGATTTAAACATCATCAAGCGAAAAGAGAATATTTCATCTTATTTGTTTGGCAGTTGAGATAAAAACAATGGATGAAGTCTAGGAGATTGGTTTCTCTATGAATTATCCATTTAACAAGGTTTACATGTGTTTACCTCTAGTTTACAATCATGTAGAAGTGATTAGTCAGGACATTCTACCAACTTGTTCAAAGTATCAATATCGACACAATGAGATCAACAGAACCCTTTTCACTAGAAAATTTTCTCAAGCAGACGTACTTAAAGGTGCAGCTGTAATAAGAAATCTGGTGGAATCATCAAGAACTGTTTGAAAATTACCAGTCAAAGCCTTGGCATTTCTCAAAACACAGTGGTCATTAAACAATTGACCATCTCTTTAAATACAATAACTATCATCAAAGTGACCATTACTAAATACAAATGACTAATTATTATTTGATTGGAGCACAAATTGCCTGAAATGATTAGATTGTAAATTATGTCAGACATTTTATACTAAAAGAAATGCTTGACACAGGCTTAGTCTCGTACTTAACTGTTACAATGTTACTGAAAGTCGAATTTCATTTCATTGACTAGTATCAAACAGCAAATCAAAACTTCTTTTAATCAGAAGGGAAGTTTTTTTCTCTTTTTATACCAAAAGTGAGAGGAAATACAATCTGTGCCCAATCTCACCACGTAAGACTGCCATTGCCTCGAGCACGGAGATCTCTGAAGCTATGATTGTAAGAATTATAAGAGTGACTAAGATCAAACACTATTAGAAAATAGATTAAAAATCATAGTAATCAAGTCAAAATTCCTTGCCCAGTCATTAGTTGTAGCTAACATGTTTCGCATCTGCCAGCTCAAGTCCACACCACAAGAGTCACCAAGTCCTTGACGTGGTATTACAATTTCCTTTCTCCACTAAACATGACTATCAAATCTAAACAAAACTGTTTTGTTATATAATATTCTAACAAAACGGTTGTGAATTTCCATTCCACTATAAGTTGATGACAGAAAAACAGATGGTTGTTAAACAGGGATGAGATCTACAGTCAATGTTTTTAATGTGAATTGGTAGAATTTCCACACCAAGTAATTATATTGTTTTAACAAGCAAATAATTTCAAACTTCAACAAACCAATGTAACATCATATTCATTAGACTGTTAAATATGTATCCAAATTTTCTACAATAATTCAAAAACGTACAAAAAACACAGATGGTTTGTGAGAGAGAAATAAACAGAGCAGTTTGAAACAATTTTCATGACATCAGTTCAATATTGAGTATTTGTTTATTTTTTTAACAATTTTCATTGAGCAGACGTAATAAAGACAGCCGTCAAAAAGACCAGAAGTAATGCTTCATTTCAGAAATAAAGCAGATGCAGGATATCGGATAGCATGCCACTATCAAAATATTTCTCAGAGTAAAGAATAATACTGCCCTAACTAAACACATAAAAGATAAATGGAATTTTATAATTTTTGTCTAAGATGTAAGACATGAAAATCTGCCTACACATCATGGAAATCCAATATGGCCATTCCACACCAAAGATGAGCACCGACAAAAAAAAATCCACAGCGAAAATAAAAGAAACTTTATTTTGATAATGAAACAGAAGAGAAAATAAAAATAATTTTATTAAGTACAGGTGCTTTGAAGATGATAGAGAATTAAGACAAGTTCAATGAAAACTATATAATAAAGAAAAATAAACTCTGACTGGAATTAAATAAGATCAAAAAATCAAATTCTCAGTCCAACTTCCTTCATATACAGGGGCTTGACGAATGATAATTTCATAA